ACCCTTGCCCTGGGCTAGCACTTGAGCCACCCGCCTAGGCGCCAAGAAAAGTTTTTTTTCCCCTCCCGTGCCCCTCCCCCACCTCCATCCTGCGCTCTGATGGGGTGGGTTTGGGTCCATTGGTGAAAAAAGTCACACGTTCTCATCAGCTGCTCCTCCCCCTGGGGACAGGGTGGGGGGTGACGGGAGGCAGACGCCGCGGAAGACCCTGGCCGACCTCCAGCTCCGCCGCCGCCCGAGCGGTGCGTCCCGTGGCTCGAGCGCAGCCGGGTGCCCGCCGAAGGCTGCCCCCATCGGTGCGTGTCTGCGTGCCGGGCAGCGGCAGCATCCAACCTGCTTTATTCCTGCCTGCAGCGCCACGGCGAGCGAGCGGGCGAGCGAGGAGGGGAGAGGGAGTCTGTCTGCAAAGTGCTGCTCCCTGGTGCTCAGAGGCGGCTGCTCCAGCTCCAACTCTCATTCATTTCGCCGGTTAACATGAGAGATCATGGCCGCCTTCGGGCTTCTCAGCTATGAGCAGAGACCGCTGAAGCGCCCCCGGCTCGGGCCGCCCGATGTCTACCCGCAGGACCCCAAGCAGAAGGAGGTAAGGGCGCCCGCGGCCTCCGCAGCTACTGGGGCCGCGCTCTGCAGCGCTGACCCGGGGCCAAGTTGGCCCAGCGGGCATCGCCGGCGCTGCGGGGGAAGGGTCGGAGAGGGGGATTGGAGGCGGGGGCCGGGCTGGTGGGCTTGGGGACCCCAGGCGACCGAGACCGGGCGGCTGTCATTCCCCGCGCTCCACTGGGGCGCTCGCTCTCCCGGTGCCGGGTCGCCTCCCGGTTATCGGGCCTGGCACTGCGCTGCCAGGCGCTTCATCGGCTTCTTTCCTGCCGAAACCTTCCTGCTCTCTTTCCTCCGCTTCTGCCTGGTTTATTTTTCTGTCCGCCGCTTTGGTAAATCCTGGTAAACTTTTTGAAAAATGTTGGAATGCAGTGCATCCGACACTAAGGTCTTGCGTTTTGCGCCAGCGGAGCAGGGACGGATGGGGGAGGGACCCTTTTCAAATTTTCCAGTTTAGAAAGCAAGTCGTTTTTTATTGAGGTGATAAATATATTTAGTTCTATGAACGTACCTGTGTATCCCTTCTCCCCTTTAAAAATCAGTATTAAGGAGAAACTGATTTTTGTCCCTGCAGGCTATTGGCTTAATTGCTGGAGGCTGTTGTGTATGTAAAAGCAGACTAGTTACCTTGGAAGGGAATAGGTCCCAGGATTGCTTATTTCTTTGAATGAAATTAATTGGAGAAACCTTGACTCTTCCACCAGGTGCACTAGTTTCAATGAGTAGGGTAACCATGGCATTTTGTAGCTATGTGTATGTTTGTCAGGAGTTAACAAGTAATTATGTAACAACTCTCCAGTTAGAGTAATGATCACCCTTGGCTACACAATTTGCCCAGGGACTTGCCGCCCCCCCCCCTTTTCTTCTTTTTTGGATCACCTGCTACCTAGATGTGCTTTCAGAGTTTGCCAGCCAGCCCACCCATCTTCTGTTTTCTGCAGCTAAACACAGGTGACCAGTATCAGAACTTATCTTTCTGTGAATCTAAAAGCCCTCTATTACAAGTTTATAGGCCCCCTGATCTCACAACAAAGGCTCTGTAAATAAGGCAAGGAGGGGTTTTGAGACTTGTTTTTTGATAAAGGTGCCTATTTCATTAATAATAGAGGGAGGGTGAGTGCTAGCTCTGGCAAAACTGTGCTAGTAGTAATGTGTCTGAGAAATCAACTAAGAAAGGAGTTGTTGCTCCTTAGTACATTAAATTTGGGCATCAGTGGAGTCGTTCACATGGAGCTGGGAAGGTCTCACAGGTGGTTCCCAGCAGAGGCTTAACAAGAAAATGAGAGTTTGATGAGATTTACAGATTTCTTCCCCTCCCATAACCTCACCCTGTAACCTTGACTCAGAAGGAAAATAATTAAGGGACTGAAAGAATAGAGAATATGATGAAGGACCACGTGTAAAGAAGGTTAACTTAAAATCACTGGCAGGAAACTCTTAAAAGTTTTGGTGGAGACAACAGCATTTATTGGTCCATCTTTTTGTAATGTCTTGTCACATCTTTGCAGAGGGCAGTATGACTGGTGGCAGTGCCCCAGTAATGGGATGGCAGCCTGGGTTGTTCTCTGGGCTTATTTAGCATTTATTTTTTCAGGACAACACTCATTTCAGGATTGGGGCCTCTGTGATTCTGGAAAGAATAATTTTGAATTTCAGGGGTTATTTTGTGGAATCCTAAAACTGAAAGTGATGTTAAAGTCTACCTTTGTTTTTTCATACCAGGGATTGAACTTGGGGCACTTGATCACTGAGCCACATCCCCAGGGCTATTTTGTGTTTAATTTAGAGACAGGGTCTCACTGAGTTGCTTAGTGCCTCACTTTTGCTGAGGCTGGCTTTGAACTCAAGAGATCCCCCTGCCTCAGCCTCCCTTGCTGATGGGATTACAGGCATGAGCCACTTCACCTGGCCAAAGGCTACTTCTAATACTTCCCTCTTAACCTCATGAAACTTAACTGCTTTAAGCTAGAGGAGTGGAGAATAAGCTGAGATGGCTGGCCAATTCCATATTTATATCAGAAACAGTACTGCCTTAGGGAGGATTTATGTAAATCCTGTCCTGATGTTACTTCCTTCCCCCAAGACAACAAATATTTTATCTTTCTTGAGCAGAGTTTTGTGTGGCATCATATTTGGGTACAATATTGCACAGGTGCTTGGCTGTTCTTGGGTGGTTGGTGAGCAGTGTCCTAGGCTTCAACTGTTCATATTGCCTCTCTCAAGGTTTCTACTCTATCCTTGCATCACCTGTATAGTTATTCAAATGTTTCCTTTACATTAACTTTTTTTTTTTTTTTTTTTGGTACTAGGGGTTGAACCCAGGGGTGCTTAACCACTGAGGCACATCCACAGCACATTTTATTTTAAGCTTTTTGGAGTCAGAGTCTAAGTTCCCAAAGCTGCCCTTGAACTTTCGATCCTCCAGCCTCAGCCTCCCAAATTGCTGGGACTACTGGCATGTGCCACTGTTCCCGGCCCTAAGCATTTTAATAAATTTTTTTGGGCTAGGCAGTTATAGTACGACTTCCTGAATATGTTGCACTGTGTATATGTAAAATTTGTATCAATCACATATACATGTTTTTTATTTTTATTTATTGCTGTTACACACATAAAATAGTTAATTATGCAGGGTTCAAATCAGAACCTGTTAACACTTTGGAAAGTTCATCTTTGCATCTAAAACTGCACTGCTATCCATCAGAGACGATATTTCCCACATGGTGGGAATGTGGATTTAAAGGAGGAAGTGTGGGCTTCCCAGTTGGGCAGCCATGGATTTGAATTCTGGGTTAGCATCTTTGCGGTTGGGGGAGTTACATAACTTCCCATTTATAAATTAGTTTAATTGTGCTCTTTAGAAACCTGTGAATAGTTGTGAATATTTTTTCTTACATTTGTGTGAGAAACTCCTCCTAGTAGAAGCTGTCCATTTGTAGCTGTTTGTCATAATTGTCATTGTTAAGAGTGGCAAGAGTGTTGTGGAAGTGGCTCCCAGAGGACTGGGCAGAACCTTTCAATGAGGATCCCCTGTAGAGAAGCTTCTGGGGAAGAGCTAGAAGTTCACCCTCCCTGCTGGCCCTCTGATTGTGTTCCCTCAGGACTTGGTGGGTATTGTGTGATTCTTTGCCCTGTGGAAACAGAATGGCCTGAGCCTTTATCTAACACAGGGAATCAAGAAAGTGAGAGTCGTTCTTGATTCCTCCTTTCCCCTCATGTCTTATCCACATGTCAGCATCATGTGTCCGTCATTTTCTCCTGTCTCTCAATCCTCCCCAGTTTTACCCACATGCCTGACTCCCTCTCAGGCCCCAGGCCCACTTTTCTCTGCCCTGGGCCCTTGCATATGCTGGTGTGTCCTCCTCCTGGACTCCTATATACCTCCTAGGCCCCACCCTGCTCTGCTGCCTCTGCCTGGGTCAGGGAGGCTGGTTCTTCACCATTCTGCCTGGGCTGAACCGGGCTCTCCCTCCCATGTGCTCCTGATCTCCTCTTCCTTTTCTTCTTTTTCATGATGTTGTGGGCTGGACCCACGGCCTCCTGCATGCTAGGCAGGTGGTCTACTGCTGAGCCACCCCAGCCCGAGAACTGAGAGTGGAACCTGCAGAGATTCTGCACTCACATGTAGGCTGAGGTGAATTCCCCTCAGGCCTGCACATGTCCATCTTCACCCTTGTCTCAGCTGAGGACTTCAGGCCTTGCTGGTGTATCATGGAAATTATATATTTGCATCTTGCTATCTCCCATTGATGGGACCATTTCCTGAGGACAGGGATGAGTGCATATATTTTTGTTGGAATATATGGATGAAAGTGGGATGAATAAATGAAGAAGGAAATCTGGTGACTGAGAGGTGTTGGAAAAAAGTCTAGTACCCTTTGTATCTACCTTGAGGTTATAAGGCTGACCGTGAAATGAAACTCCAACATAGGAAGGAAGAGGACTTCTTCCATGGGGCAGAAAAGGCCTAGCAGTTGAATCATAAGTATGACCAGGAAATTCAGTGAGTTGGGGCAGTGGTAAGGGTCCTAGGCATCAGGCGTTGGGAACCCCGGTGGTCCAGGGAGTATGGCCTGGTGTGCAGAGCAGCCAGAGTCGGCCATGCAGTGTTGTAGGAGATGAGCCCCACACTGGTTTCCAGCCTGCTAGTGCGTTCACTCCCTGGAGGGCTTTTTCAGACCCCACTGGGGGTCTGCAGTGCAGCTCGGGGCAGAGCGCTGGACTCACACTGACTTGCAAGTTCCCAGTTTGGTACTCGGCATCACAAGAGAAAAAGGAACAAGCACCAACACCCAAATCCCCAGGTTGCTGGTTCTCTCAGATTCAGGAGGTCTGAGGTGGGGCCCCGGAATTTTCATTTCTAACAAGATTCCGTGTGATCTGCTACTGTCCAGAGCCCACTTTGAGAACCTTGATCTCCAGAGGAGAAGGCATCCTGCAGGACTGGGGCACCCCTGCCTGGGCGGGCTGGATCAGGCATCTGTGAGGCCCAGCTTGCCAGTCCAGCCTGGGCCTGGTGTGTTTTTCTTAGAAGTTGTGCCCTCTCTCAGCCCAGATCTAAGGGAACAAGTGAGAAGGCCCAGTCCCCTCCAGTGACTGAACCACTCCTGGAGTCATGTCCAGACTTCCCACCATCCTCCCTGCTCAGCTCCTCACCTCTGCCTGCAGCCAGGCCGCCCAGCTTGAGTTCTGCTCCATCACTGGCTACCTTTGGTCACATTCCTCACCTGCTCCTTTGCTCCCACTCCACAGGGTGGCTGGGAAGGTCGAATGACCTGATGTTTGCAGAGTGGGGCCATGGGTGCCACACTGACTTCCTGGGGACAGGTCAGCCTCTGTTAGCTGCACCCAGGGAGAGTTCTTTCTGTGTTGTGTTAATGTCTTCATGAACTGGCACCTATTCTAATCCCAGGCACCAGCCAAGCCCCTGCCCTCAGGCAGCTTACATTCATTCCCAAGAGGAAGGCAGGCGATGGAGAGGAGGGT